AAACATAAGCACTTGATTACAGGTCCATTCAAAGACCAGAAACTCATTCATTATTACTTATTTATGATTCCATATTATTTTCCGACCTAGAGATAGTTTCTATGTGCCAACTCCGTCACAGCGCCGGCGAGATCTCTCTCGCTCTGAACGCTCTGAACCCACTTTGCATTAATGTTCACTCGCTCAATGCTCTGCTTCAAGGTTCTAGCTATTGAGGGCTTAGTACGGCTCGCAAAGAACTCCTCTATATCCTTGACCTTCTCAAATGTAGCAAACTGTAGAAGACGATAACCGCAGAAGTAGAAAAGAAAAAATAGTTGACTAAGAATTCATCATCTACTGAATTTTAAAGAACTAAATCAGGTACTGAACCGATCAGAAAGTAAAGAACACAAGACTGGAGCAACAACAACTTGAGTGAGGAACAAACGTGAAATAAGACAGATTTAAGAGAAAAAGAGCAAACCGGTGAGACGATTGCGCTGACAAAGCGAGTAATCAAAAATCCAGAACCCCAGGTTTTTGAGATGTGCTCCCAGTTATCCTAGAGTCAGAAAGTTAAAAGCATGGGAATGAGCATCATTTGAGAGAAATTTTGAGGTTACAACAAAATGCAGAGAGAAGCATAATGAAATTTTCACTGACAAGAGCAGGACATGTGTAAGGCAATTTGTATTCACTGTAAGCCGCATATAAATTCTTATTAGTTCTCTTACTTTTATAATTTTCGGCCAACATCTTTAACACGCTCTTCTAATATATGGTAGTACTTTTACACCCAAAAGGTGATTATTTACCTTCAGCCACGTCCAAGCTACTTCACGTCCTTCTATGCCAACAGCAAGTCCAAAAACAGCATCTTGGCTACGGACCTTTGATGAAATCAAAGTAAACTCAATGCTTAGTGTTCAGATAAAGATATGTTCCCGTATGGAATCTTTTAGCCTCAGCAAACAGAAAGGTTGAATTTGTGTTACCTCAGAAGAAAGCAAAAAGTTCAGAACTTCCAAAATTATAGTGGGATCTGGACAAGATGCCAAGGAACCTACAAGACAGATTAAAAATAAATAAATAAACGTATGACGTGCTTCGAGATTACTATGTTCCACATCTCTTCAATAAATGAGCTCTTAATTACCTAAAATGCGTGTTTTCTCCTGGCTCAAATCACTCTCTCTATATACTCCCAGAAGAGATTCATTATCCGATCTATTTGATGCATTGGCTGTCAGCATTACAGCCACATATGCCGCCTGCAAACAAACCATGATCCACAACAAACCATGTTATTAGGGGTTTTAAGTAGCCAGGTACTAGTATTTAATCACTGCTGCACATTCCACAACCTTTCTTATATCGGGAGGAAGGAGAGGTGTATTTCTGTCATCTAAGAATGCATGAAAACGTCTACTTGCTTCAGTCAGTGTGGGTTCATGTCCGAATACAGCAAGGGCAGTCAAAACCTCTCCTCTCAACATGGCATCTAAATGGCTCTCGCCAGCTTTAGGCTGCCAACCAAGCTTCCTGAAATATGGTCAAACATGTTGAAGTAAAATAAAAACAAAAGGGAAGAAAGGAGAGAGAAGCTAACATTGTGGCAATTCGCCAAACTCTCCCTCCTGATCCATACTCGTTTAGGTATTGAAAGTATGTCAAGTATTAAGAACTTACTCTGCAGCGTTTTGGAAAAGGCCGATAAAAAATAGTTTAATGAGATCTAGCAGCTCAGGTACAGCATCAGCTGCAATCCTTACTAGTTTGTGACTTATCTGCAAAA